AAAAAATGTCAGTGATGTTATTATGACGTCATCAAGAAGTCATTGTGAGATCATATCATTAAATAATGACCTTACCACCACACTGAGGCTATTTACTGGTGTAGTAATCAAAGATTGGAACAGTGGCCGTGCTTCACAATTCGAATTTTTTTCCGTTTCAAATATTAGCTGCTTTTTTACTTGTGCAAGGGAAGAAAGATTCGCCCCGTTTTACTAAAAACTGCGCGCGGACTTTGCATGCTTTGTTTGATCGAATAACAGATAAACCATTCTGGCCGGAAAATACGGCCTTTGGCAACCTACAAAACTAGGTGGAAAATCTCGTACAGACTGGACTAGGATTGCGTTACACCGCGTAAACGTAACTAGTGATCACTAGTGTAACTACAACATGCCCGATAATTTTTAGCGACGACTCAAGATAAAGGAGGTGTCTCCTCTATGTCCTTCCCTTCCTCTGGAGTCCCCGGAGATGTTTAAAATCGTGGTCTGTGGACTATAGATTTCAGATTGCATGCCATAAAATGAAAGGGAAACCCAAAATTTGAAAATTAATTCAAAACAAGTTGAAACATAAATTTTGCGAGTTGCAGCTAAACAAATGGCCACGATTTGTTGTCAGAAAACTAACGTAACCCCGACTTGCACAGCTTACCAAAACACCGTGATTTGTGGTCAGAATGGTTTATTCGACGTTCCAAGGTTAACATTTTTCAACTGTGAAAACAAGAGGTAAACTCGCGCAATTTAAACAAATACAAACGCAGGGTAAAAATGTTTGGCGACGCGCTGTCTGGTGGGTCGGCTGGCCGAAATCGCGAAACTTAATTTTCTCAAGAAATATTTATTATAAGTTTTGGCGTTCTGAAATTGAACGTTCACTGGCGGAAACAAATCTTAGAGAAATGCTTTTACTGGAAGTTTATAGTTCTCTACAAAGCTTATAGTTTGACAAGTTTAATTCATTCATTAGTAGTTCAACCTCACGTGCGTGCAGATCGTTATCTGTTATTCGATCAACCAAAACTGGCGAAGTCCGCGAGTGAAGTTTTGAGCTTTTACACTACGTTTAATAAGATCGCTCGGATTTTCCTACCTTTCACAACTGCAAAAAGATCACAAATGAGGCATGAAAGAACAGAAGGTCAACAGCCAATATTTGGAAAGAAAAAAAAAATCGAATTGTGAATTCACAGGCAGTGCTCTCAACACTATTAAATAGCCTAAGTGTGGTCACTGGTCAGGTCATTATTTGATGAAATGCCCTCACAATGACTTCTTAATGACGTCATGATGATTTTTTGACTTTATCTTAACCGTGGTCACTCGTGGTCACTCGTGGTCATTCGTGGTCATTCGTGGTCATTCGTGGTCACTCGTAAGTACTTTTAGACCCTATCGTTCCAAACCATCTTTCAGGACCTGTGCACGCGCGATCAACGCCGCCTTTCTAGCCGCGGCCCTCAACCGCGCACTGGACGCGGTTGTTGAAGACGACTTCTTTGCACTCCGAGTTGTTTGACTGATACTATCGTCTGGGTTAAGTTCGTCTTCTAACTGACCAAGAGAGAGAGATTTAACGCACATGACACACTCACGCGGTGGTCTTCTAATTTCAACACTTCACTACAATTGTTTGCAGCTTCGACATAGTACAATTGGGCACTGGGAACCTCTTCTGACGTACCAGCCTTTTCCAACCACTGAATTAATTTAACATTAAAGTCAAATAAATCCTTAAGAGCTGTTCTCACCTGTTCCAACCTTTTCTGGACGCGATCAACACTCGCTTCATTGTCCAACAAAGATTTTAACTCATCCCGCTTCCTTGTTTTATTTGACGCGTAACCGCCACGTTGTTTTCTCAAGACCGCCATTTTCTCTAAATTGACAGCATGTAAATCCAAAGTTACCTTTACAACCGCAGTTCATATATGAATTATTTCATATAAACTTCACATCATTTCACTCCTCACGGGAAGAT